GTTGGGCAAACTCCCATGAACCCTCAAGTACCCTGTAGAGGGTATAGAGCTGGTCCAGTGTTCCACGGCCGGGACGAAAACCACATTGCTCCTCTTGAAGCAGAGGTTCTACTATCGGCCGGACTCTCCTCTCCAATACCCTGGCGTAGGCCTTACCAGGGAGGCTGAAGAGTGTGATCCCCCTGTAGTTGGAACACACCCTCCCTTCACCCTTCTTATGAGGGGGACCACCACCCCAGTCTGCCAGTCCAGAGCCAATGTCCCCGACCGCCACGCAATGTTGAAGAGGCGTGTCAACCATGACAGCCCCACAACATCCAGAGATTTGAGGTACTCAGGACGGATCTCATCCACCCCCGAAGCCCTGCCACCGTGGAGCTTTTTAACCACCTTGGTGACTTCAGCCTGGGTGATGAAAAAGTCCAACCCCGAGTCCCCAGCCTCTGTTTCCACCAGGGAATGTGTGATGGCAGGATTGAGGAGATCCTCGAAGTACTTCTTCCACCTCCACTGGCAAATGTGATTCCTAATAAATCAATTAGTTTACGAATTATTTTTTTAACCCAATAACCCATTTGCAGATACAGAACCTTAGTCTCATGTGTCAGTAAAATAAATAAATCAGTGCCATGTATGAGCATGGGCTGCCCAGTGGCGCAGTTATTAGCGCTATATCCTTGCAGGTAGAAGGTTCTGGGTTCGAATCCTGGCTTGGGGTCTTTCTGCATGGAGTTTACTTCTCCCCGTGCATGCATAGGTACTCCGGCTTCCTCCCACAGTCCAAAAACATGACTCTTAAATTGCCCTCGGAGTGCGAGTGTGTGCATGGATGTTTGTCCTATGTGTTGTCATTGCCCAGTGATGGGCTGCCAACCTGTCCAAAGTGTCCCTGCTTCCCGCCCAACGACCGGTGGTCCACCAGCCCCCCCCCCGTGACCCTGCAAGGATAAGTGGGTAAAGATGAATGGATGGATGTGTAGTTTTTTTTTGTAGTTATTTAGTTGCTATTTTTTATGTATTACCATCTGGATGGCGCAGTTTGCGTTTTTCTTGACAGAGATGGATATGTTGTTTAAACTGGTTTTTGTGACAGATGAGTCTTTGTGTTGCTCCATAATGTGTTTTAAAATATGACTCACTAATAATTTCGCTCATAACATGTTTAATGAAGTTCCACTTAAGTGTATGTGAACATAACTTACAGATGAAGGGTTTCTAATGCTTCATGAACTTAGGGATTTTCTTTAACAGTGTAACATTTACTGACCAGTGTTTCAGCTGCTCTGTGTAGTTCATACCTATCCCAGCTGTCTGTGCACAGCGCATAGACACGGTGACAGGAAACAGACACCGGTACTGATCATGTAAAAATGTGTCTCATGCTAACAATGATGCATTGCTTGGATACTTGTGAAAGTTAAGTCGAGTAGATTTTTGTCATATTTTATTGATTCCAAGGTTCCTTAGGTCAGAGTATATAGTTTTTTTGTTTTCTGTAATTAATGTTCAGATCACTAAGTTTAAACATACTCTTTTCCTTTGGGCTTCACAGTACATCCGCACATGTCTTCAAGCCAAGGAGTCTCCTCACCTCACCCTGGTCCACACCAGCACCATCAAGAACATGTTTGACAAGGAAATGTCTGCCATCGCAGCTGTAGTTAGCCGCAAGTCCTCCAATCCACCGTTACCGCTACCTCCCAAAAGAAGGATTCCCACTGTAAGTCCAGTAGTGTGTGTGTATGGGGGGCTGGAGGGGTTCTGTCTTTTTAGCCTTTCTTATACCCAGATTAAGAGAAACATATGCAAGCCATTCTTTTTTATTTTTGTCACTTTAACCGTCATGTCCTCCCAGAAAATTCAATTTTCCATATTTAGCCAGGGCACAGCTTTGACCTGAATGAAGATGTTTATGCCAATATAAAAACATAATCTAGGTGTTATACATGCGTTTATGCAAATATACATGCACGTTACACATTTCTTTGAATCTGAGTATGCTATTTTTAACTACTGCACAGTATTTGCTGTAAATTTACCCTTACTGTTTAGTCTTTTATTCTTATTTTGTGTTTTGTATATTTTTACCTCTGTGTGACTGCTTGCTTGGACTTGCCTCTCACTTTGCTTCTGGTACACCTGAATTTCCCCACTGAGGGACAATTAAGGTTATTTCCATTGTGTTCTATGTACCCTAGATAACACTCATTTAATATCCTGCAGTGTTTACTCTGCTCTTCTTGTTGCACCACAATAGCTAAAACACCATGAAGTGATTAATTCGCCAGAGCAGAATGTTGCAGGTGTTTAGGTTTACAAAGTAAACATTCTGGCAGCTGCCATCTGCTCTTCTTATGAGTCAGTATTTAAAGTATGTCAGAGCGTGCCCGCGGTACCCTGCCAGCATTCGGTGACTCCTCGCTGCTGCTTTCAGGTGAACAGTGACATGGCCGCTCAAAGCGCGCATCCACATTTCAGATGTTAGGCCCGTTTTATTTGGCCTTCCTTTGAGAGTCTCCTGGTGAGGTTCTGAAGCTGGCCGGGCTACAGATGTCTGTGTGATGTTCGGCTTGATTAGAGGTATCACGTAACTTAAAATACATTTAAATTTACCAGAAGGTTCAATTTAAGCTCACACTGAGTCTGAATGCCCTGCTGCTTTAGTAAAACAAGCCTTATAACGTCCATATACAATGAGCGAGGGTCCTGTTTTATCATGAGTTTCAGTCCCAATGAATGATGGGAAAATTTACTTCAGATGTGGAGATGACGACATGGAAAAGCAATACCCCTAAATAAAACATTGTAATTCTGTTCTCTTTAACATTTAACCATTTAAACGTTAGCTATCAAAAGTGCGAATGGGCAAAAACTTCTGTTTTTATTCAGAGAATAAGGTGAAGAAAGCAGGTCTTTTTGCAAGCCCCAATAAAGGGGCTTTTAACAAGTATTCAGGTATAAAAGAAGGCTTATGGTAAATAAGCTGTGCAATGGAGCCCAAGTAACTGTAGTAAAACTGGAGTGCCTTAATTGGTCTTCAAAACAAATGGTCAATTATTTGCCAAGGTAGATGGACAGAATTCTACTTATTTACGTGGAGCTGTAATGTCAGTAAAGGAGCGTTTAAATAAAAGTTCTCATTACTGATAAGGGACTGGAAATGCCACACATGAGTTTCAACCACACAGATGGCAGGAAGTGGGCATGTTAGTCAAGTCCATAGCTTTTACGTGTCATGTGATGCTTTTTGCTCTGTTGACTGCTGACCCTCGCAAATCCACTTGGCTTGACATCACGGCGACCTGCCTGACCTCGCTCATTGTCTGTTTGTGTCTGTGTTGGGAAGTGGTGGGCGTGAAGAAGTGGAGTCCTGTGCATATTTTTACACGAAATCATCACAATCCTGCTCACACTCACAGCCACTCTCCCTTTCTGCCCTCGCTCTCCCTCCTCAGCAAGTCCAGACGTGTGTGTGGGACGTGTCGTGGTCATTCAAGATAGTCCTCGTGAAAGGCAGCAAGGTGAACGCTGAAGAGAGTGCCAAGGTAAACTCTCCACAAAACACTGTTTATGTTTCATATACGTTACTTCTGTGGTAAAACCTGCAAACACAGCTCTGCCACGTCTACTTTACAGTCATTACTGCAGTGCCTTCCAAAAGTATTCATACCCCTTTCATCACATTGCACAACGAACTTCAGCGTATTTTATTGGGTTTTTATTTGTTAAATCAAAAAGTAGTGATAAGCGGGAACAAAAATTATCAATGGGTTTTCACAAAATGTTTTAAATAAAAAATTTTAAAAGTGTGCAAAGTATTCTAGATTTCATTTGGGGTATCAAAGTAAAGTGGGCTGACCACAAGCGAACACCAAACTTTTCAGATTTTTATTTGTAAACAATTTTTTTTAAACCATGAATCCCTTTTCTATTCATTTCACATTCTTGCACATATTGAAAACTTTGCAAAGCAGGGGTGAGTTCTGTGAAAACTGAATATCCAGCACCACCCGATAGGAAAATGATGGCATGTCTGAACATACACACAGGTCCAGGTGAGGGCGGGCCTCTTCCATGGCACAGAGCTGCTATGCAAGCCGGCCGTGAGCAGCGAGAGCAGTGGGCGCTCAGAGCACACCTGGAAGGACAACGCTCTGGAGTTTGACATCTCCATCTCTGACCTACCCCGCATGACCCGCCTCTGCTTCGCTATCTACGCCGTCATGGATAAGGTCAAGAAACAGAAGTCCACCAAAAATCCACACATAAACAAATACCAGACCATACGAAAGGCAGGGAAAGTGGTGAGTAGGTCTGAAAGAGGATCCAAAACACTTCCTTGCTTCTCTAAACCATACCTGTTCTGTATTGTTACATCGTTTGATTAATAACTGTTTGATCTAGCACTACCCCATAGCTTGGGTAAACACGATGGTGTTTGACTACAAAGGGCAGCTGAAGACGGGAGACATCATCCTACACTGCTGGTCTTCTTTTCCTGGTACACACAATCAACTCTTAGTTTGTTTTTGATCATTAAGACGAGATATACAGAGCTTCAGGTGGAATACCTGCATGCTAACCAGGATTTTTTTTTTTTTCCCAGATGAACTTGAAGAGATGCTGAACCCAATAGGAACCATTCAGACCAACCCTTACACTGAGAACGCCACAGAGCTGCATATCCACTTTCCAGGCTACTCTCCTCATCCTATCGTCTTCCCCCCTTTCGACAAGGTCAGTCCGCAGTAATTTGGTTTAAACACAGTGCATTCCAGACTCATGCCAATAAGGTCAAAATATGTGACTTTAGGGTTAACGTTTGGAACAAATTATTCATGCATTCACGTGCACAAGTATGTTGGTGCTGCCACTGATTTGCCACTCAGGCTATTAAACTAAACATCAGTAACTCGGCAGGAATAGTGTGGCCTCTTCAAAGACACGAATGCAGCAGTCATTGTGGTGGCTGAGTGCTTTGCAAAATGCTACCTAGTGATTATGATGAAGTGGTGGCAATTACCATGAGAAGATCAGGACGTGCTCCAGTTGCCTAATGCACACTTGCTGGAAGTGCTGTCTCAGTGCACACTTACTCATTCAGCTCACTTACTTTTCTTGCAGATCCTGGAAAAAGCTGCACAGATTGCCAGAGCCAGTGACTGCGTATCCATAGTGAGTAACTGCCTAATGAGAGATCATTGTGTGAGCGCGCATTCATTAATTCAGAACACATACCAGTTTGAATGAAAGTGAAATTATATGCCGAGTAATGTTTCACAGTCTCTGCCCTTCACACAGACACAGCTCAGATTGAACCTTTCAAACAGGCACCCATACCGTGTTTCCTTGGAAACCTATTGTTATCACTTGGCAGGGTGTATTAGTAAAATATTCACCCTCCCATACCACCCACCCACCTCTAAAACTAGAGACTAATCAGATTACTTGTGTGTCTTCCTGTTTTAACGCTGCAGTACCAGAAACCCACTGCTGGGTGTGTTACAGCAGGTTACATAACCAGCGCTACACGGAGGACGTCTACACAAAGCCGTTCAGTTTTGTGTGTGTGAATCTGTGGAATGTTATTGGCTACAATCTGAATGTGTCTTATCTTATTATTCATCTGTACTATAAAATCTAAGGACCAATATTTACATTTATACTCTTTTGAAATTAAATTTACTAGGTTCATTTTTTTTCTGAGAAATTATTATA